AACCATATTTTTTGGACTTTTGTTCCCATTGCTCTACGTGTATCATCTCATTTTATCATTAAAATAGTCTTATGAGATAGAAACTATTATCCCAAATAAAAGAAAAAATAAATAATGGTATGTAGTGAATGTTGATCTGAACGTGCTGCCCGTTGGGCGAGGACACCTGACTCAACCTGGAAGCTGGGACGTGGGGGACTGGGCCTTCAGACTAAATGTTGGAAAACAGCACAGATGAGCTAACGCATGTGGGTATTAACATACAAGGGAGAACAGGCCTCATGAAGTCTGACTCCAGGGCCAAAGACAAGGGTGGGCCGATAAGGTCAAAAGGCAGAGTTTCCTAAGGAGAGGTGATGTGCTGGTTTAGACAAGCCTGTAGCTTGTCAGCGCAGGAGTGTTTGGATTGTAATGGAACTTAGTCCCAATTCCATTTGTAGTTTTTTGGAATTTTATTGATTCAATAAGTCTATTCGATTGAATCCAAATAGTACTGCTCTCACAAATAAATAACAATTTCAGCACCAGGCTGAGTTGTGTTTTTGTTGTTGTTTTGTTTTTGCTGATTCTGACTAGTTCTCCAAGAAGCAGTTACTTTAGCACCTTCCTCTGGGGCCCTGACCGATTTCTTTCACACACTTTATTAGCAGTGCGGGCTTAGAGTCATGCGGCAGGTAAGCCTATCCCTGTATGCTCAAGACTCAAGGGAAATTTCCTTTACCGTCTCATTTTTACCAGTGAGGGACCTGGGCCACAGAGCAATTCAATAGTCTTCCTTCAGTCACACAGCTGGTAGGTGATAGAGCCAGACTTCGGTAGGTAAGGTAGGTAGGTCTCACTGTCTATAAAGATCCATTTCCTGGCGCCATTCCACCCTATAGATACTGGTACGGGCCAAGCCTTACTGGTCAAGTAGATTGACTTTAGAGTTGGTACATTTAACCACCTTTTTAGTTCTTTTATGGGAAAGAAATCAAAGGGAAGGAGAGAGAGACAGAGACATAAGACAGACAGACAGACTGAAAAAAACAGTGTTGTTAAGATCTAGGTTAAAAATGTCAGATCTCCCCTGGCTGGCGTAGCTCAGTGGATTGAGCACGGGCTGCAAACCAAAGCATTGCAGGTTCCATTCCCAGTCAGAGCACATGCCTGGGTTTCAGGCCGTGGCTCCCAGCAACCGCACATTGATGTTTCTCTCTCTCTCTCTCTTTCTCCCTCCCTTCCCTCTCTAAAAACAAATGGATAGAATCTTAAAAAAATTATTAAAAAAAAATCTCAGATCTCCTTTATACTGCTATGATGAATTAGGCAAGTTACTTAGCTTTTCTAAGGCTCAGTTTCACCACTTGTAACGTGTGAAAATAATACATATCTAAATAGGTATCCGTTCAATCTATTTTAGGTTATGGTTTTAAAAATAGCATGCCAATTTATGATCCAAGACAGCCCCCTAGAGGTAAAAGTAAAATATGGACTTCATAACAAAACTAAACAGAATCCCCCAAAGCCTTTTTTTCTTCCCAAACTGTCCAGCCAAAAACTCCGTAGTTTCTGCAAATCAAATGGCCCAATAACTGGTCTTTAGTGTCTCCAATGTCTTTGAATTTCAAGACCAGGCTTCCTCAAAGGGAACCAGGAGGGCTTGGCACAGTCGGTTATTGCAGGGCCAAATGGCACCAATGAATTGATTCCCAAAAGTGGCAAGTTACCCATCACCACCGCCACCAGCACACGTCCACATACAGCACACAGCTCAAATAGCTTTACAAATAAGTTTCCCACATTTCAGAGAGACAGGTTATCCCTATTATGCAAACTACTTTAAATAACCAAAAAAAAAAAAAAAGGAAAAGCCAATCAACTCATCTTATTAGGGTAGCATAGGTTCACAATCCTTTACCTTAAACATTGTGGGGTTCGGGAGATTAGAAAGATTATGCAGTGTGTGAGTTGTATATAACACCCCTAGTACAATCTGGACCGGCTTCCACAATCCAATATGTTAATGTTTCTGCAGCAAAACATACAAAGCAGGGTAAATAGAAACTAGAAATAGCTTCACATCAGTTTAGATGAGGTTTTGCTGCAAAGGAATATGATTTAAACATACCTACCTTCCCCCCACCAAAAAAAGCCTATTTCTAGTTTTCAGAAATTTTTTAATTTTGGAATTGCAAATAAGGGTTGTGAACCTATTAACTAATGCCAACACAATCTGGGACGCTAGTATGAGGAAAGATTTACCTCAAACTCATGAGAATATTTGCAAAAATCCTAAAGCAAAATATTAGCAAATAGAATCCAGCAGTGTGTAAAAATGATGTCATAACCACTGGAATGAAAGGTGAAGTATCACAGCTGTGGTTATGAGTTCGAGTTGGCAATCTGACCCATGAGATAAAGATGATTTAAGCAGGAGATAAGACAGATACTGTATTTTCACCTCCCTGGGTGGCCCAGCAGCTACCCAAGTCTACAGGGTTTTTGTCACTCACCTACAGGACATGTATCGCTACCACTGGGAGAGCCTAGGTTTGTGGGGGTCACGTTGACTGACAGAAGCTGAGGCTCCTATTTTCCACCAATATTTTATATGATTCTGGTCGTGTAGACCCACAGCCTATGTGTCCCTTGACAACTCCTGTAAACCTACGCACACAACAAAGGAGGCAAATACAATATCCCCCACTTATCCTAATTATGCAGTTTCCAAGGAAACAGTATTGCAGAAGACCAAGGTCAGTGTCAGACAGGCGTGCATCATCCAGGCCTGATAATAATTTTCCCTTGATTCACAGAAGGAAAATTGAATAATAGTTAATCTATCACTGTGACTTGCCAACTACTTGGTAAAGGAGAGAAATCATATGATCCTTTCAAAAATGGAGAAATGTACAGCTAAAGTTGACTCACAATAAAAATGATGGAATTAAGAATAGGAGGGAAATTTAAATTCATGAAAGGATATTTACCTCAAATCTAACCTTTATACTTAAAAGGAAACTTTGGAAGTGTTTCCATTAAGTCAGGAACAAAGTAAGATCTCTCTCTGTAGTCACTACTGTCCTCCATTATTCTAGAGTCCCTGGCCAATGTAGTAAGAAAGAAATAAGAGGTATGAGAATTAGAAAGAAACAACACAGTCTGTATTTGCAGGTTAGATTACTGCCAAAAAATCCAAGAAAATGTAGAGAAAAACTATTTGATCTAATAAGAGAGTTTGGCAGAGCCACTAGGTACAAGGTCAACATACAAAAATCAGTAAATCACTATCTACAGAAATAAGAAACTAGAAGATCCATAATAGGTGAGAAGATACCATTCTAAATGTCAATAAAAACTGTAAGCTATCTAGGAATATATCTTATAGAAGATGTGCTAGACCTTACTGAGAAAAATGCAAAGAATTTTTTTAAATATAAAAAGAATATAAAAGAACAAATAAAGTGGTATAATACGTTTATGTATAGGAATACTCACTATCATAAAGATGTCACTTTTCCCTCAAAATAAGCCTACAAATTCAATTCAACAAAAACTTATCATGATTTTGTGGTAACTAGCTAAGTGGGTTCTAAAATTCATAGGAAAGAGTAAATGTACAAGAATATTCAAGATAATTTTGGAAAAAAAAGAAAAAATCGCAGCTATAAAGATTTATTATTAAACTATAGAAATTAAATAGGGTACAATTATTTCAGAGCAGCTTAAAGGGGTAGAGAGCCCAGATATAGACCAAACATATTGGAGACTTGAAATATGGCAGACAAGGCACAATCTATGGGAGGAGTTTGAGGGTGGAGATTGGACTTTGCTGTAGGAACAATAATAGGCTCTCCATTTGGGCAGTTGTCAGAAAGAACACATTTTAGAACATAAATGTGACCACAAACTCCCAGTCACAACCTTTGGTAGCTTCTTACGTTTTCCAGATCTTCCACATGGCTTACAGGGAAGGCCCTGCATGGGGTGGCTTCTGCCCACCTTACCTGCCAGAGGGCACGTCCCTCACCTCTGTCCTTTCAGTTAGCTCCTTGAGTGAGCAAAAGCTGTCTCCTCTCCCTGAAATCCTTTTCTCTGCTTCCTCCTCTCTCTGCTCCCCTTCCTTCAGGTTCCAGCTTAAATGTGACCTCAGGTAGGCCACAACCCACCACTCTATCTAAAACAGGTGGCCCCATAATTTTCTACTGTATGTGTCAATCTGTGATTTATGTATTAGTTGGTTTATTCCAAGAGTCCACACACTTTTTCCCTAAACAGCCAGGTAGGTGGTAGATATTTTAGACCTTGTGGGCCACAGGTCTCCTGCCCTGGTAGTGTGAAAGCAGCCACAGACAATACTTAAAGGAATAAGCATGACTGTATTCCCATCAGACTTTATTTATGGACATTGAACATTGAATTTCAGTATTTTTACTGTCACGAGCTATACTCATTTCAGTATTTTCCTCAACTATTTAAAAATGAAAAACCAGCCCTAGCTGGCGTAGCTCAGTGGATTGAGTGCAGGTTGTGAACCAAAGCATCGCAGGTTTGATTCCCAGTCAGGGCACATCCCTGGATTGCCGGCTACAGCCCCCAGCAACCACACATTGATGTTTCTCTCTCTCTCTTTCTCCCTCCCTCCCTTCTCTAAAAATAAATAAATAATTTTAAAAATGCCAGTGAAATTGTAAATAGAAAAAAAAATAAAAATGAAAAACCAGTTCTAGCTTTCAGGGTGTCCAAAACCAGGTGGCCAGGGGTGGCCCGCGGACCGTAGTTTATTCGCAGTAGTCTACTATTTGCCACCCCGACGCATTCGGCCCACGATTGTTTCCAGCAGCACTAAGCACCAGCAGTGCAGAACACACAGCTTCTTTCCTCTGTGAGCACCTCCCGGGGTGCCAGATGCTTCCTAGGAGACGCAGGCAGGTTGGTTCCTCTCAAGAGTGGGCGGGGCCTGCGAGCGCCGAGACGCAGGGGCGGGCCCAAGCGGAGGGGCGGGGCCTTGGGAAGGAGGTGGGCGGTGCGCGTGCTTCCGGAAGCACAGCGCGGGAGCAAAATGGCCACCACTAAACGTGTGCTGTACGTGGGTGAGCAGGCACGGGCGCCAAGCTGGGTCTGGGCGAATCCGATCCGAGTGGGGCCGGGTGTGGGACCCGACGCAGAGGGCAGCGAGTTGCTGTCTAGGCGGGATCAGTTGTGGTAATGCTTTGCTTCTGGGTGTTAGCACTACACGTAAAAATCTTTCCGGCTCCCTTCCAAGCCCGCTAAGATCTAACTGGTACCCTTCATATCCTAGGTCTGGAGGACTGGTAGAGTAATACTATGAGCCTCCAGATCCTCGCGCCCATTCATTTTACAAAGAGTCATTTGCAGCGATGGCTCAGCCCTGGTTCCTTCCCCCAAAGGAAGGGGTCCTCAAACTAGCCAGGCAGAAGTGAGAATAACTTCAGTAGCACAGTTTGATGAGCGCTTGGTGGGGACAGACAACGATGACATGCACTGGGGTGTGGGGAGAAATGATCCTTCCATCTGGAGAAGTGAGAGCAAATTTTCGGGATGTGGTGACGGTGGAGCGGATGATCCGGATTTAGCCAGGTAGTCAAAATAGGGGCAAGTGTATTTACTGAAAGAGCCGCAAGGGCAAAGGCCCAAAGGTGTGAAATACTTGTGAGCAAGTGGGTGCATCTTACGGGAACCCAGAGATTTGAGGAAGCAGAGGGGAAAAGGCCGAAGAGGTGGGCAGGACTGCAATTATGAAGAGCCTGCTAAGGAGTTTGCACTTTATCCTGAGGACAGTAGGAAGCCTTTGAAGGAGTTTAATCAGGGAAGTGATGGGGTTGATTCCCAGGATCGTCCTAGTTGGCTGTGTGGGGGAGAGGGAGATCGGTTAAGAAGTTATTGCAGTAATTCTGGAGCTGGATGAGGGTCTGCAAGGAGGGTGAAGAGAGCAGTGTGTTTCGTAAGTTAGGGTGAGAGAGTAGATGAGCCGAGTGTCTATGTGCCCAAAGGACTGGATGAAACGACCCCTCCCCTTAGCTATAGGATGCTAACTGGGCTGCAGGGACTTCTCAAGAGAATAAAGGACAGTGACTCAGAAGGCCCTTGGCTTCTTTGCAGGTGGGCTTGCAGAGGAGGTAGACGACAAAGTTCTTCATGCTGCTTTTATTCCTTTTGGAGACATCACAGATATTCAGATTCCTCTTGATTATGAAACAGGTGAGTCCTTTTACTCTCTTATGGTCAGAATCCTCCTATTGGGAAAAGAACAGTCAAAAAAATTTAAGTCCCATCACAGTGTATTATAAGGTTGGTATGCAGGAAAGTTCTGAAGGGTGCCTCAGTAGGGCAGTATGACCGTGATCTCCATGCAGAGGGAATGTTTTGAGGCTTGTGGTTGTGAACTGGAAGAGCTGTCTTCAGAAAGTCCAATCCATTGGATTTGAGATAAAACAATTTTCAATAGCCCAGTAGGAAGATAGATTTTGAGCTACGAGGGGCTCAAAATAGACCTGACTCATTTCAAACTGTCTACTGGGACCTCACCACACCTCACCATACTATGAGCCTCCAGATCCTCGCGCCCATTCATTTTACAAGGAGTCACTTGCAGCGATGGCTCAGCCCTGGTTCCTTCCCCCAAAGGAAGGGGTCCTCAAACTAGCCAGGCAGAAGTGAGAATAACTTCAGTAGCACAGTTTGATGAGCGCTTGGTGGGGACAGACACCAAGCTTCCTTCTCTGCTATTAAACAGGACAGCAGGAAAGCCTCATTAACGATGGGGCCTTGGCCTCTGTGTACCTGGGTGGGTTTTCCTTTAACAGATATCACTGATATAGATCGGTTTTCTGTTTACCTTTGTTGTCACTTTTAAGATTGGAGTTTTGGGCCCAGCCTTATCATCGACCCTGCATGGTCATTAGCAAGGTCTTTAAATTCTCTGGGCCTGGGATCTTTGGCTGTAAAAACAATAAGATTATACTGGTTCTATAAGGTTAGTCGATTAATTAAATTAACCTTGCTGTGCTTGGCCTTTCTAGGTAGATCAGCATTTTCCTGAGGATAAAGAATGAGTATCCTTATCCAGGTTTTAGGATTCATGCTTTATTTACAATGTTTGCTCAAGATGTGTATTTAGAATGAATAAGTTAAATGACTTAATTTTTCTAGGTGCCTTGCTTGCAACAATTAAGGTTTTAATTTGGCTTTGGTAGAAGAATACTTATTTTAAAGAAAAGTATGGTTTATTATCTAGCTATGTTCACTAAAAGATAGAGTTTAATATAGCTTGAAGTGTCTTTTAAACCCAGAAGAATTAAAGATTGAGATTCCTTCTTCTGAAAGAGGGATTGGATAGAATTTCTAATGTCTGCACAAGGCTTGTGACTGGCTTCCCTTTCCTTGTGGCTGTCTTTTCTTCCCATTGCCCTAAACAGTAATTACTTGTTTTTGTTTTCCTTTTTTTTTTTTTTTAGAAAAGCACCGAGGATTTGCTTTTGTTGAATTTGAGTTGGCAGAGGTGAGAAAGTTCTGTTTAACCTGTGTTTCATCTTTGGCCTGTGTGTTATTACTGATTGCAAAGGGTTCAGTTTCTGGGCCTTATGCTGACGCTTACAGAGGACGAGAAGTGCTGTCCACAGAAAAACTTCCCTCAGCCCTGGCCAGGTGGCTCGGCTGGAGTGTCACCCGTACACCTAAAGGTTGTAGGTTCAATTCCTGGTCAGGACACATACCTAGGTTGTGGATTTGATCCCCAGCTGGGGCACACATACGAGAGGCAACCAATTGATATTTCTGTCTCACATCAATGTTTCTCTCTCTCAAATCAATAAACATATCCTCAGGAGAGGATTAAAAACAAAAAACAACAGCAACAAACTTCCCTCACACAATCAAAGTGTAGACTGGGTAACACTGCATACCGGCCAGGTCCTGGCCCTCCTGCTCTGCAGAGCTCCTGCAGCCCCGCTCCTGCAGCGCTCCTGCCTGGCAGCACTGGTGATCACTTCTTACGCCCTCCACTAGATGGCAAGTTGCTGTACCACCAGCTCTAAAGTCAGCCAGGAAGCACTCTGTCTGACACACATGCAATGTAGGCAGGAACTGTAGAGGTGACTTTTTTCCTGTTTTGATTTTCTGTGAGGTTCTTTATGTATGTTTTAGATACCTAAACACATGCTCAGGAGAAGCTAAACTTGCACTGTCTTTCCTTGGCAGGATGCAGCAGCAGCTATTGACAACATGGTATGGCTGGGAATCTTCGTTCTTATTCAAGTTGATTTGGTGGTACAGAGGGGTCCTTGTTCACATATCAGTTTGCTGAGCCTCCAAAGTTACCAGGTTGCACAGGGAAGTAAAAACTGTCATCGTGTGAAAATGTTCCCTGAGAAGTAATCACTTAAAGATTAACCTTTACTCCAACATCCTTCCCCATTCAACAAAAATATAAACCCTGATCACCCTTATGGGCGGATCTCTCACTGACTACCCCGTGTCTAGGATAATAAATTGCAAGCACTATGCCAACTGATCGCACAGTGAAATCACATATTTTGCAAAAGAGGCGAGGTTTCATGAAGCATCAGACCAGGAAACAATTGAGAATGGAAATTCAGTAAGGATATTGACCGGGTATGCTACGGATGCAAACAACTTCAGTGCGCGGGGAGGCCCTTGGGGAAAACATTGGAGTTCTTGCATGTTTGTGCCCTCTTTAAGAGCCCTGGGTTTTCATATCATGTATGAGGTGCAAAGGTGACTGTTGATAGGGTTTTGTTGAAAAAAAGACGGCAAATTCATGAGCACCTGCTACATATTTGTTCCACAAATTTGTGCATAGTTAAACCTAAATTTGAACTGTAAGAAATTTATTTTCATTACTTTTAGTTTCATCACAGTCAAACCTTTCTTCCTTTACTTTTTACCATGAAATTTTATTCACTGCCCTACATGGGTTTACAGGAAGGGACCTTCCCCAGCACCGATTATCTTTGGGTAGTAGGGTTCTCCTTTATCCCTGGTCTCTGCTACCCGTTCACTGAACATCGTCCTCAGCTCTCAGAGAGGGATCACTTCTCACCCTTTCAAAGCTGATCTTGACTTTCGAAGGTGAACTCGGGTACTTGGAAACTACATTTACCCTTGTAACCCCAAACCTAGAGTATTGGTAGCACAGCCCTTCGCTTGCCTTGAAAGACAGGAGTGTGATGGCTCCGAGGAGGCAGTTCCCTGCAACCCACGGGCCACTTTGTGGTGGGCGCAGAGCTTGCCGTGAGGGTCTCAGGGATTAAGAGAGAACAAATCAGGAACATGTCTCAGATGTATCGGAAGCCAATGGAAAGGCTCTCTGTCTCTTTTAACCTAACAAGAGTTTAAGCAGCTGAATTTGCAATCTTTTCAGAATGAATCTGAGCTCTTTGGACGGACAATTCGTGTCAATTTGGCCAAACCGATGAGGATTAAGGAAGGCTCTTCCAGACCAGGTGAGTGGGATCCACCACAGATTCCCCATCGTGTCCTCCAGTGTGGCCTGAGTTGCGTTTTTAGCCCTGTTCCGTGGAAGTAGGTACCGAGTGCCACACCTGGTGAACAGGAGTAGAGGATGGTTCACACAGACGAAGGGCACGCGCCACTTCTGTGGGGAATAAAAAGAGTCGGAGCTTCTTAGGGTAATTGTTTCCACTATAGAGAAAGCCTGCCTGATCTCTTCCTACCTTTCCCTGTGTTCCTATTCCTGGGGTGTTCCACCAAGGGCTGGAACTGGCAAGACTACAGCTCTCCCTTTGACCTAACTTTTCCACCTAGCCCTGCTGAGATCTGGACTTCCGAGTGACTTTCCCAGGGGGAGCCTCCCATACCCTTGGCAGTTCCCCAGGCAGAATCCTGTGGCTGAGAGGGCCACAGGGTACCTTCCACTAGGCTGACTAAAGCAGCTAGTTAGCATTCGGCTGACAGTGTGAATCTCGTAACACTTGTTTGATTCTTTCCCTGCAGTTTGGTCAGATGATGACTGGTTAAAGAAGTTCTCTGGGAAGACTCTGGAAGAAAATAAAGAGGAAGAGGGGTCAGAGCCTCCCAAAGTGGAAAAGCAGGAGGTGAGATCAAAGGCGCGTGCTCCTAGAGGAGAGGCTGACACTTCCTTGGGAGACTTTGTTTTAAGTTTTACGGAAATTTGGAAACATATACACAGCAGCACAGAGAATGAAGACCGAACCCTTAGTGCTTTGGGGAAGGCGGTTTTGAGTGGACTAAAGAGAGAAGCTTTGAGCGCCTCACGGTTGTGCTGTGGGGAGTGAACTTGTCAGCCTCTTAGCTCAGTTTAGGTGCTGATTAGCGGTTGGTGGCTGAAGAGGAGGAAGCCCACCACGAGGGAGGGTAGTGAGTGCTCCTCCTCACCCCTCCTGATCAGCCCCGCCCCCGCAGCGTTGGACAGCAGGCTCATGGCGTTCGGTTCCTGCCCCAACGAGGGAGAGTCAGGCAGGGTGGAGATGCCATCCCCGCCGTCTCTGCGTGCGTCTCTGCGTGCGTTTGAGGTTCTCCCTCAGAGAACGCCGCTTCCACACTTTCTCCTAGTTCTCAGCAGCCTCTCTGATCGTTGCTTCTCCGGCTTTTCCCTCCCTTCCCCGTGACTATTACTGCTTTCTTGGCTTTCATGGCATGCTTGCTTCTTTTGGCCAAAATGGTAGCAGTCAGTCGGGTCTTTCACAGCCTTCCCTGCAAAATAGAGACTTTCGTGGTCTCTGTTTCTCGTGTTGAGCTTCAGACATTGTGCTGCAAGTCTCACGGGCAGTTGCCTAAAGTGGGTGCTCTCCTTCTCTAATCCCATTCTCCCTGTATTCCCAAGCTTCGTAATTTGCCACCATCCATCCACACGTTGACCCAAGCTAGAAATTCTGGTACAAAACAGAGCCTATAAATGGCCCTCGTAGTCAAAGGAATAACCCTGGGTCACCTAGACCCCCCTTTAAAACAGAGAAAATATAGCATCATATTCTGCAAGTTTTTCTCTTGTCTTCCTTGAATTCCTCCTCCCTGGTTGTTCTGTCGTCCTAAGTTAGCCTCTCGCCGCATTCGGATAATTACAGGAGCTCCCTAACCAGCTTTCTGGCTGGAATCTCGCTGTCCTCCAGTCTTTCACAAAGACTGCTAGAATGATCTTTTGAAAGCACAAGACCAGTCATCTGACTGTCCTTCTGAGCACTTCCCTGTGGCTCCCCGTCACCTGTCCCAGGGGCTGTCCCAGGGGAGAAAGCCCGAGAGGGACTCCCAAGTTCTTGGCCCTGCCCACTGCACCGGTCTCAGCGGCACCTCTCCACACTGCAGTCCCCACCTGACGCTCTTGCAGGAGCCGGCTTTGTGTTTCCCTGTCTCTGCTTTCGTACAGGCTGCTCATGTGCTTATTGCCTTTCCCTTTCCAGGCAGCAGACTGTCTGTGAGGCTAGGGGCCTTGTGCCGTTCATCTTGTAAATAAAAATGTCAGGTGGGGTAGCGTGATGAAGAGCAGGGACTGAGTGGGTGGTGTGAGTAGCGTAGGTTTGAATTCCAGTTTTACCACTTACCACCTCTGTGACCTTGGGCAGGTTACTGAACTTCATTGTGCCTTGGTTTCCCCATCTATAAAGTGGGCATAGTAGTGGTCCTGATCTCAAGGATGGTTATGAGGATTAAATGAGCTAGTATACGTAAAACATTTAGAATAGTATTCTGTACATAGCAAGGGCTATGTGAGTATTTGCTGCTACTACTATGCTACTGCTGTTGTTAGCAGCAAATGATAGGAATAGTATCCTCAGTCCATTTGTTAAACTGAACCACAGACAAGTTACAAACCTCTGGTTTTTCTATTGGAACAAATTTGACAGCTGTGTTAAATGTCTCCTTGCCCTCTGCTTAGCTTTGTCTACTTGGGTATAAAGCAAGGCCCCCTCGACCTCCTCCACTGTCTTCTGAGCACTTGGGCCAACTAGAGGGCCACCCCCCTTGCTTCCATCGTAGCCAGCTTTTGGATCCACAAGGCTAAGCATAGCAGAAGGAGGTGGTATTACAGAAATGGGTCTGTTCCCTGGAATAAGGTGGGTGGGCTGAGCTGGGGCTTGATGGTGCTGAGAGTTGTGCTGGGCCAGCACAGTGCCACTCTGTGACTGCAGGGAGGGTGAAGTGGGCCGATGTGTCTGAGGATGAGTCACGTGATGAGATAACGCGTCTGTGGGGTGGGGCTGGGGGTAGATAGTGCTGAGGTCTCCTGTCACTGGGTGTCCAGCTGGGTGCTGTGACCATGGCCTCTGCCTCCTGCAGCCCTTCCTGCTCACTGCAGTTGAGTTCTGGGTGTGGTTGCAGAAGAATCCTCACTCTCCCACTCAGAGAGTCAGGGAGTTCTCTCTAACTGAGCGATTTCTTCACCCAGGGAGAGCCCGCTGCAAAAAAGGCCCGGTCCAATCCGCAGGTGTACATGGACATCAAGATCGGGAACAAACCAGCCGGCCGCATCCAGATGCTCCTGCGTTCGGATGTCGTTCCCATGACAGCAGGTGAGTAGGGCTCCCGTCAGGGAGGCTGGTGCCCTTGATGTTGTTTCTGACCTAAGTAGATACGATCCTGCAGTCTAGTAGCAGACAAATCAAGAGCAGGCGTTCTTTAAGCCTTGTAAGTGCTGGTTTACTATTTTTGAACAGGTTTTTTTTTTAATATAAGTAAATAGCCCTGGCTTGTGTAGCTCAGTGGGTTGAGCTCAAGCCAGCAAACTGAAGGGTCACTGGATCAATTCCCGGTCAGGGCATATGCCTGGGTTGCGGGCTGGGTCCCCAGTGGCGAGTGTGTGAGAGGCAACCACACATTGGTGTTCTCTCCCTCTCTTTCTCTCTCCCTTCCCTTCTCTCTAAAAAAATAAATAAATAATCTTAAAAAAAATAAAATATAAGTAAATAGACTTCTGGTCAAGGTGGAGGCATAGGTAAACACGCTCTCCTCCTTGCACAACCACATACAAATCACAAGTAAATTACAGAACAACAATCACTCAGAACCATCAGAAATCGAGTTACCAAGTTGAATGGAAGTCTGACAACTATGGAACTAAAGAAACCACATCCATCCAGACTGGTAGGAGATGCGGAGACACGGAACAGGCTGGTCCCACACTCACGTGTGGTGGATAAAAATTCAAGAGGAATATCTCGGGAGCAAGGAGTCCTAGGACCTAACCCATGTCCTCCAGCCCAGGGTTTCAGTGCCAGGAAGATAAGCCCCCATAACCTCTGGCTGCAAAAATCAGTGGGGTTTGAGTCGGTGAAAGGAAGTACTGGATTCCCAAGAAGTGCTTCTTAAAAGGCCCACACATGGACTTACTCAGACTCACTCCTCTGGGCTCCAGCACGTGGGTAGCAGCTTGAAAGGTACCAATGGTGTACAGGAAGGAACTGAAGTGTCTGGCATCAGGGTGAGAGCTGGGGGACAACTTTCTCCCAGACAGAAAGGTAAGTGGGGGCTACATCTGAGACTCCATCAACCTGGCTCACCCAGTTCGCTCACACGGAATCCCTGGGGCTCTGCCCTACCCAATTTACAGCCTGCCCAAGCTTTTAGCAGTGGCTTTTCCATGTGAATGGCTGGCCTCAGCTCAGGCAGGCTTCACGCCATCCCCAATCCTCTCAAACAAGCAACAGCCAGCCTCAGTGAGTACCCAGCCCCTGTACCTCTTGATAAGTGGCCCCAGGCCTGGCACTAGCAGCAGCCAGTCTAGATTCACAGCTTGGCTTTGCCTGAGAATCTCCAAACTCAGTACAAGTAGCAGCCACCTCACATTGCTTGACAGCTCAGGCAGGATGGCCCCAGGCAAAACACAGGTGAGAGTGACCTTGGTCAGTACCACCCGGGAAACCCCAGAGCCTGCGCACCCATTGGACAGCTACTGACCATGTCAGAGCACCACCACCACTCTGCCCTGCAGGCTCAACTGGATTGGCAAGAAATATTCAAAGTCATGAAAAGCAGGGATTTACAGCCAAGATTGCTCTATCAAGCAAAGATATCATTTAGGATCAAAAGCAGATAAGAAGATTCCCAAACAAGAAAAAAAACTAAAGGAGCTCATCATCACCAAACCATTTTTATATGAAATGTTAAAGGGACTTATTTAAGAAAAAGAAGATCAAAACTATGAACAATAAAATGGTAATAAACACATACCTATCAACAATTGAATCTAAAAAACAAACTAAGCAAATGAGAAGAACAAAGACAGAATCATGGATACAGAGAGCATTTTGATGGTTGCCAGATGGGAAGGGGATGTGGGGGAGTGGGTGTAGAGGTGAGGGGATTGAGAAGTACAAATAGGTAGTTACAGAGTAGCCATGGGGGATGTAAAGTACAGTGTAGGAAAGGGAGCAGCCAAAGAGCTTATACGCATGACCCATGGACGTGAACAATGGTGGGGCGATTGCCTGAGCCAGTGGGGGGTGCTGAGTGGAGGGGGACAGAGGGGGGGAAAATAGGGACAACTATAACAGCATTGTCAATAAAATATAATTTAAAAGAAAAAATCTAAGTAAACACGTATTCATAGTTTTAAAAATACTGTACACATATTTCAAAAATATTGAAGGCAATAAATTAAGTCTTTTCCCCCTTTCCACATCTAGTCCTCTCTAGAAATAAGTACTTTAACTTACTGTGTTCTTTTTTCTTATCCATTTTATTTATTTATTTATTTTATTGTTGTTCAAGTACAGTTTTCTGCCTTTTCCCACCACCTCAGCCCTCCCCACCTCCCTCCCCTGTTTCCACCCCCCTTTGTTATTGTCCGTGTGTCCTTTACAGTTGTTCCTGTAAACCCTTCTCCCTTCCCCCATTAAGTTACTGTATTCTTTCCAGTTTGTTAAATATTGAGTTCAATTTATTCTTTTTTTAATCTAAATATTATTATTCAGACATGTAGATTTAAAAGTAAACTTCACCCTGGCTGGTGTAGCTCAGTGGATTGAATGTGGGCTGCGAACCAAAGCATCGCAGGTTCGATTCCCAGCCAGGGCACATGCCTGGGTTGCGGGCCACAGCCCCCAGCAACCGCACATTGATGTTTCTCTCTCTCTCTTTCTCCCTCCCTTCCCTCTCTAAAAATAAATAAATAAATTTTTTTTAAGTCAACTTCAGAAAGCTTGTTTGATAAAACAACAGTCCCCAGGTTTGTCCCCCCCGCCCCGCCCCCCATCATTGTGCCCCTCAAAGGCAGCCAGTTTCAGCTCTTGGCTGATGCTTTTGGTTCTCACTTCTGTATTGGCAGATGACAGGTTATGTTGCTATGTCCTGTTTTTTTCGTGATAGATCTTTTCTGTTGGCTTCCTACTTCAGAAAATGAGGGATTAGCTTTTAAAATCACCTTAACTATGTAAGTGCATATATAAGGAGAGTGCATATATAAGTGCATATTGGTTAGATCACAGGTTATTTTAACTATTTGAATAAGCATCATGCTGTGAGAACTTCTTTTATGCACAGCATTTTGTTGTCCCTGGAATTCATAATCATCTCGTTTTCCGTTTCACCTGGTCTTCTGTGTATTTACTCCTGATTCTCTCCCAGATTCCCCTGCCTATCTGAATCTCTCATCATGTTCAAATGCAGCAGGTACTCTGTCAGTTTCACTGTTGTGGAGTAGCCCCTCCTCGGAGGCTGGCGACGTGCCCCAGGCGGGGCCTGCTGCTCTCCCGGCCCGCTCACAGTCCTTGAGGTGGGATCTGCTGTTTCACCTCCTGTGTTGCCACCTCTGTTGTCTTCTTTTTTATTTATTCCCTCATTTCAGTAGAGAGCGTACTTCTGCGGCTTCTGCAGAAAGTACTTGGGAGGTAAGCTCTCTGAGACTGATGTCTGAAAGTGCCTGCCTTCCCACTTGATTGATAGGGAGGGTGTAGAATTCTGGAAAAGTCTAATGTCATTCAGATGCTTGGTCCTTTGTACAAGACCTCTTTTGTTCCCTATCTAGAACTATGCCATCCTATGTGGTAGCCGATAGCTACATGTGACTTTAAATTAAATTATACTAGCCACTATACTAGCCATTATCTGTGTCTGTGAGTTTGTGTGTTTGCTGTTTTATATCCCACACATGAGTGAGATCATATGGTTCTTGTCCTTTTTCGTCTGACTTATTTTCACTTAGCATGATACTTTCAAGATGTATTCATGTCACAGATGGCAATATTTCATTTTTTATGGCTGAGTAGTATTTCATTGTGTGTATACATACCGCATCTTTATCCAGTCATCCGTCAAAGGACACTTAGGTTGTTTTCACATCTTGGCCATTTAAACAGGCCTTCAACCAGACTTCCTGTTTTTAGAACTACCTTCACCCTCGTGTCTGCGCTTGTGGTGTTTCCGCAACACAGGTCTAGTGGCTTCTCACCTGCACCAGCCAAGAGTCAGCTTTCTTAGGTCTGTTACGACTCATCTGTTCGTTTCCAAGCTTTCAAAAAGGTCTTGTTGCTGTTATCTCTTCTGTCTTTCTCTCTCTTTTATTTCTTTTACCCATTTTTAAGTGTATAATTCAGTGTCATTGATGGCATTCACAGTGCACAACCAACACTAGCACCTATTTTCAAACTTTTTTTGCCATCTCAAACAGAAACTACCCACTAGTCAATGCCTCTTCACTCGCCTCCCCCTCCAGCTCCTGCCTCTGCCTGTTCTAAATATCCCATATAAACAGAGTCATGTAATAGCTGTCCTTCGTGTCTGGCTTGTTTTCCTCAGCGTAACGTGCACGTGTGTCAGCACTTCATTCGTTTTCATGGCCAAACAACACTCCGTCATGTGGACGTACCACAGTTTGTCTAGCCGCTCATGTGCTGATGGACACTCGAACATTCTTCCACTTTCTGGCTGTTGTGAACAATGCTGCTACGAACATTCATAATCCGAGTGTGTGTTTAAGTCCTTGTTTTCAGTTCTTTTGGGTCTGTACCTAAGAGTGGAAATGCTGGGTCATGAGGTAGTTTTACGTTTAACTTTTTGAGGAGCTGCCAGGCTGTCTGCCATGGCAGCTGCACCGTTGGACGTCTCGCCAGCAGCGTGTAAGGGCTCAGCTCCCCGCTCCCTCGCCAGCACTTGTCAGTCTGTGCTGATTGCAGCCGTCCTGGGAGCTGCGGAGTGGTGCTCGCTGCGGTTTTGATCTGCATTTCCTTAGTGAGTGATGTCCAGCACCTTTTCATGTGCTTTATTGGCCATTTGTATATCTTTTTTGGAGAAATGTCTGTTCCCATTTTTTGCCCATTTATTAACTGGGCTGCCCGTCTTTTTGTTGTTGAGTTATAGGAGTTCGTTATATATTCTGGATATCAAACCCTTATCAGATATGATTTGCAAATACTTTCTCCCATTCTGTGGGTTGCCTTTTCACTCTTAACAGTGTTCTTTGATGCATGAAGGTTTTTAATTTTGATGAAGTCTAATTTACGTATTTTTTATTTGATCAGTGCTTTTTGGTGTCATATTTAAGAAACAGTTGCGAAATCCAAAGCCACAAAGCTTTGCCCCTGTGTTGTTTGCTAAGATTTTGTTTGGTTTTTCTCTTACTCAGTGTGGAGCAGAGCTAGACTGCGTGTACCCCCCTCCCTTCTTTACTCAGGGTCTCCTGTAGTCCTCTGTGTCCGCATCACCAAACTTCAGATGGAAATGTGATCAGACACAGTGTTCAGAGTCTGGACAGAGGGAGGCGTTTGCTCATTTCCTGAGCACCTCTTCCTTTCCCCCCAGAGAACTTCCGTTGCCTGTGCACCCACGAGAAGGGCTTTGGCTTCAAGGGGAGCAGCTTCCACCGCATCATCCCCCAGTTCATGTGCCAGGGCGGCGATTTCACGAACCACAATGGCACCGGGGGCAAGTCCATCTATGGGAAGAAGTTTGATGACGAGAACTTTATCCTCAAGCACACGGGACCAGGTGGGACACGATCGATTGGTAGGGGGTGAGGGGTGGGGCTGGGGCAGGATCGGACAGGGCGGCTGTTCGGGATGGAACGGCTGGGCTGTGGTTTGGCCAAGGCATCGGGGTCTAGAGGAGACCTAAGCTAGTGAGCAGAGGAGAAGGGTTCAGCCTGGCCGGAGCAGAGTAAGTTTGCTTCCATGCATATGCTATCCATCCCCCTACCATGTCCACACTGCCTATAGCCCCCAGCTTAGATTCTGTGGTCTGCCATTATCAACTCTTTCTTACTGCCCGAACCCCACTGCCCCCTCCTCTCTGTCAGACTAACCCAGGGAGAGATCTCAGTGGTTGGTCCCCCGGCAGCTAGAGACAGACAGAGGGCTGCACTGAGTGGTCGCCCTTGAAGTTTATGAGTATGGTTCTTCAGGGGCCCTGGGCAGACTCACTAGGTTTCCTTAGTTAACGCTCAGTCCCAAAGACGACAGTTCCTCCCTACCTTCCTTCACTCCTGAGATCTCCGCATCGCCCTCTGCCTCAGCCACTCTGCATCTCTCCTGCCCACTCTGACTTCCCTCCAAGTACAAGGGATGGGCCGTTTCCCCGCGCCATCCCCTCTGCTCTACTTAGGGACCCGACTTCTGCAGTTCTTCCCCTTCCCGCCTTGTACACCCCATTCCCCTGCTCTGCCAGAGCCGCCCATCGACATAAAAATGTGGCATCAGCCAAAAATCATCCTTTGACTTTTGCCTGCCCCTCCTCAGCTCTCACCCATGTCTTTGGTCCCCTTTCTAAGCAAACCTTCTTGACAAAGTTTTGCAGACTCCCTGTTTTCCGTTCTCCTCATACGGCTCTGGCCAGGCTTCTGGTCCCACCTGTCCACTCTGGGGAAAGATGCCTGCAGCCACTCATCACCTCGTCTGATCGCGCCGCCTCCCAGCAGCGTTTACAGTCCTAGCCCCGTGCTCCGTGGCTGGCAGGACTCCCCCCTCTTCTGGTTTGTTCCCCTTTTGTTCACTTGGCTCCTTTCTCTCAGTCTTCGCTGTCTCCTCCTTCAACTGACCCTGAAGAATCAAAGGAGCCCAGTGCCGTGTTTCCCGTTCTCCATGGAAGCCTGGTGTCCATTGTCCCTGTTTTCTAACCGATTGTAGCACCACTCTTTACTCGGCTGGAGCAGAATTTGTAGATGGTACATCCTACCTACCCACATAATTACTTTACAAACCAAGTTTAAGCCACCCACTGAGAAGTCAGTATTGTTCTGTAACTAATGGAACATCCGAGGACAGTGGGCTGCAGGAGGAGAATGTAGGTTTCCACACGCAAACGTTCCAGCACCACCAACTCACCGGTGACAGCAGCTGGGCAGGTGGACCGGCAGCCTGGACACCACGAGCGGTATTGCTGTTGGTGATGTGATTTTGTGGAGTGGGAAACACAGCTGGTTAAGTTCTGAATTAAACAAAGAACAATAGTCTCTTGATTTACATAGTAATTGTAAATAACAACTTTGGGCCTAAATGCATAATAGAATGAGGTTATAGGGGCAGGTAATTGTAAACAGATCTTCCACACTCTTATCTGGCAGGACATTTGAGAGTCTCAGAGGAGGTGAGACAATTTTTCATTAAGTGGGATATTACAGAACACCTGGCATTTCAGGGCCCCCCACGGATGCCAGTAGCACCCCATAACATTTCTGAGGATCAAAAACACTTAAATTTCCGAAGGAACCCTAGGGGTTGGACCAACCCCACTGAGAACCAGCGGCCCAGGCACAGTTCTGGTCTGAGGGCTGGCAGTTGTGTCTCTGCTGCTCCTCCCATAGTCTCCCTGTCCTCCCCTTGCACCTGCCACGGCTTCACATACCCGATAGCTCATGCTCTTCACCCCACTCTTCCTCCCCTCTTGCTGTTTCAGTCAGTGATTCCACCGTCCACCTGGCCGAGGAGTCAGACCCTTGGGACCCACCCTTGAGCCCTCTCCACCACCCGCACGTCAGAGCCCTCTGTCTCCAGTCACCGCCTGGCCTGGCTGCCCTGCACCCTCCTCCCCCGCCAGGGTCCTCCAGCCCACCTCCCGCTCCACTCTCACCCCTCATAGTGTAATGTCGAGGTAGCCAGAGCGGTCCTTCCAGACGGAAACCCAGTCCCATTGTCTGCGGACAGTCCTCCTGGGGCCACATCGCCCATAGGACCTGGTCCAAAAGGGCCGACCCACCCAGGCCTAGCACCTCCCCATGCCCACTGACCCACCGCTCCGTCCTCTGCGTCCCCCCGCAGGCTTGCTGTTCCTCAGACCCACAGCTCACTCCCCTCAGGGCTCAGCCGGTGCTGATTCCTCCCTGGAGCGTTCTTCCCCGGTGTCCGCAGGGCCACCCCTCCCTCCCTTCGGGTGCCACACATGTGTCCCCTTCTCCGAGGGGCCTGCCTTGGTCTCCCTCTCCAGTGGGCTTTCCTACCATCTCACTTGTCTTTTTGAGTCAGCTTCATTTTTTTTTTTTGCCACACCCTTACTACCTGCAACTGTAAGGTTATTTTTCTGCTTGTTTTCTGTCTCCCCCTGAGAATGGCAGCCTCGTGAGCACAGGGTGTGGGATATTTTTCACTCTTGTGTCAGCGTCTGACCCACAGCAAACCCACAGTAAACGTTTGACCATCGGACACAGTGCTCACGGGGCTGGTCTGTTCCGTGTCAGACACCCTGCTCTGCAGCCTCGCTGAGCGGGGACGGGACACGGCCCCACCCCCAGGCAGCACAGGGTGCCGAGGCCCTGCTGTGCAGAGCAGCTTTCTCACCGCCACAGACGGGCTGCAGCTGCTCCTGCTGCCCCTCAGCCCCCAAACCTGGGCCCTTAGACTAAACTCAGACGTGTGTGTCCCCCCCCTTAGAGTCTCCCGTGATGGTGGCACCAGCCCATGTGACACACTCAGAGGCCCCCGTGTGACTGCCCCTGCACTTCCATTCCCTGGGCAGCTGTCTGCCCCTGGCTTCCCTGTCACAGCACGGTTGTCTTTGAGTGACTTGCTCTAGACTGAGCTCCCCCACAGCCAGGACCCTGTCCCCAAGGCTCAACAGGGGTCTGGTCAGAGTGCAGGCAGGCAGTATTTGTTGAGTAAGTGACACAGAAGGACAAACCAGTGTAAAGTGTTAGCAACCCTGCTTCCCGCCCCGCGGACTGTCCGTGGAGTGGAGGACAGGCACCTGCATGGTACCTGCGTCCCAGAGTCGGCTTGGCATGGGGGAGGGGACTGACCTACGCATCCCTCCCCTGGTACCCAGGCCTGCTCTCCATGGCCAACTCCGGCCCCAACACCAACGGCTCCCAGTTCTTCCTGACGTGTGACAAGACGGATTGGCTGGATGGCAAGCACGTGGTATTTGGGGAGATCACGGAAGGCCTGGATGTCCTGCGAAAGATCGAGGTGGGTGACTGACGCCCCGAGGGGCAGCGAGAGCGCGCCCTGCGGCCTGGAGGGAGGGGTGCGGCGGCTCTCGGAGGAGACTGCGGGTGCTCAGGCTGGGAGTGGGGGGTGGGCTGGGTGTCCCCGAGGCCCCCTTTAATCTTCCCCTTCCCTGCATGCTTTCTCGTCTCCTGTTCCGCCCACAAAGGCCCAGGGCAGCAAGGACGGGAAGCCGAAGGAGAAGGTGATCATCTCCGACTGCGGGGAGTACGTGTGAGAGGCGCTTTCCCTGCGCTGCGCCTGCGGGTCCGGGATTCGTTCGCCCCGGGGATCCAGCACATGTTAAGCAGAGGTCCATGACCTGGCCCTTCTCAGGGTCAGCGTGGAGCAGCTCCCCTGCAGGCCGGCCTGGGCTTCCCCTGGCTCTTTCCCAAGCGTAGCGGTGGCCCAGGAGCCGGCACAGGGGCCCCCATCCCCGCAGTTGGTGGCTGGGCGTGGCCTTCATAGGCCTTTGCCGCCAGGGCCTCTCCTCGGCCCACCAGTGTGGTTGCTGGACATTTCTTGTGGTAAAATGAATCATAATTTATTTTGCCAGATATAATAAATCCTCCCCCAAAACTGGTGACTTCAGTCTTTTCTCTCTTGAGTCCTTCAACTGATTGTATGGGGCCCACCCATGTTATGGAAGGTAATCTGCTTTATTTCAACTCTGCTGATTTAAATGTTAATCCCATCTGAACTCTACCTTCACAGCAACATCTGGACTGGTATTTGACCAAAAACGGGATACTATGACCTAGCCAAGTTGACACATAAAATTAATCAACACAGTCCCAAAAATATTTACTACCTGAACCTTCACAGAAAGCGTGCTGACCCCTGAATGAGACACATGGTCCCCCCCGCACCCCTCGTGCTGAGCTCTGGTCCTACCCGCCTGTGTGCGGCCCCTGCTGGGAGCCAAGGCGACCTGGCTTTTCTCCTCTCCCTTCCATGTTCTGTTTGGCTGGGGGGCTTTAAAGGCCCTTCACCTGTGGAAGGCTCTGAGTGGGGTGGGCCTGCTGCCCTCTGGCCCTGTGCTCAGAGGATGGGCATGCCTGCTGAGGAATGGTGGCGTTCTGGCTCTGCCTCTGGCTCCCATGTATCCAGTGGACTTTCAGCCTTCGGCTGAGCACTCTCTGCTGCCGGTGGCCAGGTTCCTGTGTCCTTATGGCTGGGATGTACCACACAGTTACCGCTGAGCTCCCAAGAGACCCCCCAAGCAGAGGGCCCGGTCAGTGCACACCACAGCCACTGCAGGGTGGGCGTGGCCGTGGGCAGGCCTGGTGAAGTGGGTGGAGGTGGTCGTGGGGACTGCAGGGCCCCTAAAGAACCAGGAAGAGAAGTGTGTGTGAATTCAGCACAGCCAGCCTCCGGGGAGAGGACTGACTCCTGCGAAGGTGACCCTGCCGCTTTCTGCTCTTCCCTGAAGACCTGAGGTTGAGACTGGTTTTCCAAAGTTTGGGGAGCTTGACAGGTTTGCAGTCACTGGGTGCCACTGCGCCTCCCAGGGGTTTCCTAGGGTGTCCTCTGGTGCCATCTCACTGTGTCCACACTGGAACCTCTACAGAGGGAGAAACCAAGGATCGGGACGTGACTACAAAAGTCACCTAGGACAACGTGACAGAGCTGTGACCAGAAGCATGGCCCGACTCCCACCCCCCATCATAATGACGTCCTGGGAGGTTTACTGGGCCCCTGGCTCAGTCCATAGCAGGGGGCCAGGGACCTGGCCTGGCTGGGCAGCAGGAAGGCCCCAGAGCCTGGGGAACGGTAACCTGGCTGCCTACTAACTACTCAGCACAGCACTGGCCCTTGTTGCTCAGGGGGCTCTGGCCAGTGAGGAGTGGACACCAGGGCGCTGCGGGGCCTTGGCTATAGTCTGAAGGGCAAAGCTGCTGTCCTAGGACTGCTTGGCTCCCTGTCCATGTTGCTACTGTTCAGGACTGAGGGTGTGGGGCTTGGTTTTGCCAGTTCATTCCCTAACAGCTTTAGGGCCAGGCCCTGGCCTTGGACTGGCCTCTGACGGCTGCACTGAGGGAGAGACCCAGGGCTGTGGCCCCGGGATCGGTCCTGTGGCTGCTGGAGTTCCCTCCAACAGCCTATCTGCCTCCAGGTGCTGCTGGCACGAGGAGTTGTGGGACCTGCTTTTTAGTGGTGAAAACATTTTCATAGAGTTAAGGTGATAGAAAACTAGAAAGCCATGTTTTCAAAAAATATTTATTAAGGGGGAAATTTTCACCATATAAGAGTGGGGAAAGCATACCTTGAAGTAGTTTAATATATGATACCAATCTTGTAAAAATACCTACCTATAATATGTGAACCTCTATATGTTTATCCTAAGAGGAAAAAAAAAACTAGAAATAAATTCACAAAATATTAAGTATTTATCTGAGTCTTAGAACTATGGAGACTTGAGTTGTATTTTTTTTGTTTGTTTTAAACTTCTTTCCAAAACTGCATTATTTTTATAGTAAATGGAAAACACATTTAAAAATGGTTAAGTGTTTGCATAAGGCCTTTGCATAAGTAGGAAAAACCTGAGAAGGACCAGCCCCTGTTCAAATTGCTCAGGGGCCCTGGCCGGGGAGCTCAGGTGGTTAGAGTATTGTCCAGATTCACCGAGGTTGCGGGTTTCATCCGTGGTCAGGGCACACACAGGAATCCGCCAATGAATGCATGAATAATTGGAACAGCAAATCGATATTTCTCTCTATCTCTCTTTTCCTCTATCTAAAATCAATAAATAAAAAATTTAAGACGTGGTACACATAAAAAAAAAAAACTGAGGCATTTGTTGAGTACTAAGCGCCCTCTACAGGACAGTGGCATCCCCGCGTTGGGACCACTGAAGTTGCACAGCCCTAGCTGTAGCTGGCAAAGCTGGGCATTTGCCTCAGGCCTTCCAAGCAGGTGAAAGTTAAAGTCCTGCGCCCAAACGATTGCAGTGTGTAGATACTCTAGAAGCCTAGCTCTGAGATAAATAGACCATCACCTGTAGGACACATTCTGGGAGGAGGTTTAGTGGACAAGCATGGAAGGGGCACAAAATTAGCCCATTCATTTATAATAATAGCAACAGGCACCAGTTGTTAAGCATTTATAAACCAGACATTGTCCTAAATGTGTATGTACACATCTCATCCCTAGAACAGCCTGGAAGGAAAGAGCTCATCTCCTGTTGAGTGGAGGAAGAACCAGGATTCAAATCTATTTGGCTCCCCAAATCTATACTCCTGCTATGCTGCGTCTTCCCTATTTCCTAGGGATGTTTCCAGAACCTGTGACCCTTACCTTAGTTAGAAGACAGCTTGATATTGAGGCCAAGATTGCACTGCAAATATCAAGGCTGACGTGCATTGCTCTTTAGCCTGTTTTTCCATGTGCCCTCCCTTCCTGTCAACTGTCAAGTGACTTCTCGTTGCTGTCAGCGGGTGTGCACTGACCACCCTTATTTATCCTTCTGGTCTGGTGTGACTAGATAAACAAGCCATGTTCCGAGCAAGAGAAAGGGAAATAGTGGCTCCTGTGCTGTGTACCTGCCAGCCTGGGCCACCCTCTGGAGCTGCTACTCTTGGCTCAGCAAATAAGATACCTCATGGGATACAATGCATGGGCTTTGTGTCCACAATTATTTCACTGCTCAGGGCTTTTTCTGTTGGATTTCATTTGGTGCCTAGATCTCAGAAGTTGCGGGAAGTCTGGTGGCCAGGTAGGCACACAATGACTTACTGTTCAGTTGTTCTGCAACTCCTATTCATTCCTGCTGTGCACAGCCTGGTTGGTAGGGAAGGTGAATGTCATATTACAGACCTTTGGGTAATCTGACAGACGTTTATGGTGTACCCCTGCCTATGCCAGGCCATTGCTGGGTATGAAAGATACCAGGGGAAGTAAAAACTTAGCTGTCAAAATAATTGGCTAATTTTAAATTTGCAGTCACCTAAAAGACAATCCTTGATGTTGGGAAGACAGAGCCGTTACATAACTACTGGAATCGCAAATAGGTTCCATGTTTGCCAATTCGTGATGGCCACCTGGTTCGTGACTGGGACTTGTAATGGCGTCCAGGGCTCTGCGTTCAGGGTCATGAGGCTGCATCTGGGCTCAGTGCTCAGATGCCGACTCCTTGGTTGAAGGCCCGCTGGAGATCAGGAAGTGCCCTGCCTTCGTGTTAAAGATAGGAAGTGAGGCCTGCAGGAGGAAGCCACCTACGAGTCGGATCTCCCGACATCTAGGCCAAAGCTTAAATCCCTGCACAGATGGAGAGCTCACTACCTTATAGTATGGCCCCTTGGAAGGGTATCTTCCTCTGCATTTGCTCCCAGCACCCCTCCCAGGTCCAGGTGTGGAGGCCGCTGTCCTGCAGCATGGCCCCAGCCTCCGGCTCCCCCTGCTCCACGTCTGCTCTCCCGGAGCCTGTCCTCAGGGTGCAGAGTGAACCCCTGGGATGTGCGTCCTTGCACACACAGGTCATTCTGCCTCTGTGGGCCGTGCCTGTGGGTTGGGGCGGGCCCAGGGTCTGCTATTAATGACACAGTATTTCAGGGTTCGGGCAGCTGGACTCTGTCTGGTCCAGCAGGTAAATTACAGGTTTAGCAAGTCAGAAATCAAATAAACACTCCAACTGCCTCTGCTGCTCCGAGGAGAACAGTGGTTTCCGGGAACCTCCCCACCCAGCTCATCCTAATTACTGCCTGTCACTCCCCTGGGACAGGGGCCTTTTCTTTGGCTCACAGGAGCCGCAAAAACAGGATGGGGCTCCTCGGCACAGGGGATGACGCAGACTTTGGTGACCAGCCTGTTTTTGACAACTTATGGACACAACAGGTGCCGGCAAGTCCCTGCCCTGGGCCGACACCGGGCCACAGGCTGCCCAGTGTCGCAGACACACCGCCCCGGGTAGACCGCATTGCTCCTTAGCAGGAGACGGCAGAGAGGCTTTACTTCACATGCCAACTCAAACGCACTGGCAGTGGCTGCCCGGAGCTCATGCTGATCACGCTGCAAGTCTATCAGATTTGGAGGTACAAATATCAAGATCGATTACTGCTGTCTGCCGTGTAGAGGGAAAAGGAAAATTATGTCATTTGTGCCGGGCACTGTCATCCTGGCCCACCCAATGTATTCTTGGCTCAGTAAAAAGATGACTTTCCCACAGAGCTGAACTCCCCATGGTTCAGCGTAATGACACACAGATGGGTCAGTAAAGCCCCAAAGATTTTTTGTTTCTCCAAAGGCAAAATTTCAATGCACTGCACGTCTTCCCCAGAAAGCGGACAGATCAAGGACAGGAAGACAGAAGATAAATGCCATTGGTCTTAGCCCTATACCATGTCGTTCATTCAGCTCTTTCTGGAGTTGCCCACCTGCCTCCCCAGGGTCAGCAGTTTGCTAATTCAGATCGGCAAATATGGAACACGGAGGGCAAGTCCCTGCTCTTTAACAGAAGTGCCCGGCAGTGCCTAGGTCTGCCCCTGAGAAGGGCAAGCAACCGGAGGTGGCCCAGACCTGTCTACATACCCCCGCCCCGTCACGGAGAGCAGAGGGCCTGAGGTGGCCACCTTGGGCTCCGGGTGCCCCTCAGG